CGAGATGGTGCTTGGTTTAATAAAACCGAGCCGCCTAACAACGGGAATAACTAACTCATTATTCACGTTGTTAGGCATCAGTGATTGGATGATTTTAATATTCACTGAGGTTTAAACCAATCGGGTTTTAAATTGAAAAAAAACTAATGTTTGAACTTTAAACACATGTCAGAGTTTTTATATATACGAGGGGCGACTATATATATTATAATGATCATTACAATCGGGAGAAACTTTCTCCGAGATGATTTGATTATTTGATGATTTGCGCAAACCTCATTCTCGTGAAAAATAGCCTGCATTATCTTTCGTTGAATAATATATGGAGGTACTATTTTTTACTTTATAGACGTGAACCCTTTTTTGGATTTTATAAACAATTTTGACAATAATTGTTATTATAATTATTATTGTCGAATGTTTTCTGCAGCACCCAACATTTGGGGAAAAATATTTAATACGCGTTCGTTTTTCCACAATTTCTTTTATGGTAAATTCGCAGCTATTTGATAAATCCCACTGATATTCATACCAGGCGTAAATGAAATTGAAGATGCAAGCCTGGAAACAAAACATAATCTTTAATTTGGAACAAATTTTGTGAAACAAACTTTTTTAATAAAAACATTTTTTTAACATTTATACGTTAAAAAGTCAACACTACATGCAAGCTTTCGTAAAATTTATATTTATATTTTTTATTAAATTTATAACTAACCTAATGGTTTTAAGAATTTTTGATTTTTTTTAATTTTCAAAAATTACTTACTTACTTTTTCTGTAGATGTATGATTTTTAGTTTTTTTCTAATTTTGCTGAATATTTTACTCATGCATTGTTGATGTCACGAAATTCTGTTTTCTATTATTCACTATAATGGGTTTTCAAATGTGGCAATTCACCTTATTCGGAGTTATTTTAGAGATAGAATGAAGTTTGTCGAAACCGATAAAGGAAAATAAGACAGAGCTCTTATTTCATGTGGTGTCCCTCAGGGTTCCATATTAGGACCATTGTTGTTTTGTATTTATACTTTTAATATAACTAAATCATTAAATCACTGTCAGTCCTATTTATATGCTGACGACACACAGCTAAAATATTCATTTAATCCCTTGCAAGTTGACCAAGCAACTGAGGCTATAAATAGTGATCTGCGTGATTTAATTAAAATTTCAGAAAAGCACCAACTCAAAATTAATCCCTTAAAATCATGTGCCTGTGCCTGTGTCTCGAAATTTAGAAAAACATTAATATTTCTATTAATAATAATAGACTACCATGTGTTAATGAAGCCAAGAACCTTGCAAGGTTTATTAATTGATAATAATCTAAGGTTCTCTTCACATATAACTAAGTGCCTTAAATCGTCATATTTAAATTTAAAAATATTATACCCTCACCGTCACATACTGTCACAAAATTTAAAAAAAATGTTGACTGACTCGTTAGTACTTAGCCACATTAATTACTGTGATGTAGTGTATGGCCCTTGTTTAGTTCAATTTGATAGAAATCGGATCCAAAGAGTCCAGAAGAGTTGTTTGCGCTTTATTAACGGTATAAGAAAGTTTGACTCAGTATCCTATACATTAAAAAATGCCAATTGGTTAACTATGAAAAACAGAAGAACATTACACCAGGCCACATTATACCACTCTATAATTGTTAACAAATGCCCTCCATACCTCTACAAATAATATTCAGAAGTCATGTTCATACCTTAAATCTGCGCTTTAAAGGCATAATATCTCCACCAATGCATATCACCTCTAAGTTTTGTGGATCCTTTTCATACAATATTTACCGGCTTTACAATGATCTACCGATACATCTTAAATCCCTTGGGCTTATGAATTTAAAAAAAACTACAAGCAAGTACTACTTGATAACCATTATTAGTATTAGATATATTTTTTCATATTTTGTTCTTAAGTTTAATTATTATATATATATATTATTTTTTTCTCTTTGTTCTGGAACTCGAATCAGTTTCTAACTGCCTTCCAGTCCTTTTTGCAATTGTATATATGTTATATAATGTAAAATATTATACATATTATATAATGTAAAATAATGTACACCTTCTGCAAATAAACTATTATTATTATTATTATTATTTAAAAAGTAGTTTGTGGGGAATTTTATAAGCTATATATAGAAATTAATACTATAATATCTGCATTTCGCATAAAAAGTATATTGATTTATCGTAAAAACTAGCAAAAAAACATGTGTTTTCGCTGTTTTTTTAAATTATAAAATTATAAATATTTCTATACAATTATAATTCAGTGGCGGCTCGTCGTATAAAGCAACTGAGGCCGGGCCTCACATGTTAAAATTATAATATAATTTGAAATTTTCGATACATTACTTATTTAAATATAAAACGTTTTTAAACTAATTTCCAGTCATTAAAAGTTTCAAAACATAGAAAAACCATAAAAGTTTAAAACATTTCCTTTACATTTAGCGCGCACCCCTTCCAATTTTAATTTTAAAGGCCTTATCATTGCTCGACCGCATAATAGGGAAATAGTACTCCCAGAAATTTGAGCTTCATAAACGTCACTAACGCCGATACACAGGGGCGTGCTGGCTATATCAGACCGGCCCGGGAAATTCAGAAAAACGAAAAATGAGGGGTGAACAAAACCCAGTTAAAAAATTTCAAACATTTATTAATAATTAATAACATAAAGTATAAATTATATTCTTGAAAAACAAACAGGCAACAAACACAACCAGACAATATTTTACACAATGCTAAAACATATAGCATTGCACTTAAAATAAAAACTAATACAAATTATCATCGCTCAGGAAACTTATAAACTATATACAATCTCGAAAAAAGAAACAAAGCTGGCAGGCTGGCATGCATGGTATGTGTAAAATAATTATGATATTTATACATAACTCAACTAAAAAAGTTTTTAATTGACCACGTGCTGCGGCATGCTGCCTACATAGCCCTCCGGGATTTCTCTCGGTGTCCCGGTGACCCAGCCAGTGGCGGCTGGTGGATTTTAAGTATACCAATATCTCAGTTATTAGACATGGGACCCACACCCAATTTATAATAGTTTATATTGACATTAAATAAACAAGTTCGGCGCAAACAGAATTTAAATTGAAGTTTGCGAAAAAAAGTTAGTTTTTCCTGTCGCCTACCCTGCCTCCAGGCCCCCCTATTTGAGATAATTCAAATTAAAGTGGTGCAATTTATTATCTACTATAATTTATCGACAAATTTAAAATTTTATTTAAAAAATCCAAATATTACAGTTTTTATACCATTTTAAATATTTTTTTATTTTAATAAAATAAATAATAAAAATTTAAAATCGAATAAAATCTGTAATATTTGGATTTTTTGAATAAAATTTTAAATTTGTCGATAAATTATAGTAGATAATAAATTGCACCACTTTAATTTGAATTATCTCAAATAGGGGGGCCTGGAGGCAGGGTAGGCGACAGGAAAAACTAACTTTTTTTCGCAAACTTCAATTTAAATTCTGTTTGCGCCGAACTTGTTTATTTAATGTCAATATAAACTATTATAAATTTGGTGTGGGTCCCATGTCTAATAACTGAGATATTGGTATACTTAAAATCCACCAGCCGCCACTGGGCCCAGCACGCCCCTACCGATACAACATCATGCTCCCCACCGCTGCACGGTGCCGCCGGCACCCCCGCAAGGCGGGGATAATACGCGAATTTTTGTAGACATTGAGGCCAACAAAGTTGGGCTTGTACCACAAGTATATGGAAGACAGCAGAGTCAGTCCCGAGATCTGTGCGGCTCGCTTATCAGCCGTTGTAAAAGACTGGGCGGGGAATGTTATAGTAAACAATTAATTAGATCTATGCGTGTTTATAGTTTCTTATTTCTGTTTAGTCTTTGCCTTGGCGTTAAAATGGAAAGTGGTGATAAGAATGCAAGCGTAAAATACATTATTGTGTTGTGAATTCATGTAAAAATAATTCAAATAATTATAAAACATCATTTTTATTTTAATATGCTATTATATTAACACACAAATACCACAGTAAAAATCACAAAAAATATAAATAAAAATATTCATGTTTTTTTATAGTTCAGTGTTAAATCGTTGAGTTTCATATACCTACTGTGCTTGTACATTATTATTTTGTTGTTGTGCGGTTATGCCTTTATTAATAATAAAAAATAATAAAAATAATTATTGTAAGATGTGTACCTAAAAATGGGCAGTACCTCCTGGGTAATGTGGAAACCTGCTGAAGGAATAAATAAAAATCCCCCTCATCCCGCACTTTTTGTATTATTCTAGCTAAATTTTGAAAATTCTTCTCGTGAAAGAATATATTTTTTTATTTAGATTCTGAAGTGCTTCAAAAACGCGAGACCTTGAAAATTAAAAAAATAGCACCTTCATAAATGGTCACGAGCCGCCACTGTTATAATTGTATAATTTACCTATAGGTACATGTTTTTTGCTGTATAATTTAATAAATATTATTTGCGATGAGCGGACAAAGATTGTTTACCAAAAACTTTTACCGTGAGATGGTTTTGGACGTTGTTTGAGAAATATTGACAAAGATCCAGAAAACCTGTTGTTAAATGAACAGAATACTTATTTATTTTATCATTAAAATTTTTAATTTTTTTGTGATAATAATTTTTTATAGTTTTTGCTTATAGTTCTAAAGCTTAAAACAATGTATTTAAAGCCAATGACATATAAAAAAAGTGTGGAATATATTTGTATCCCGCTTGGAATTAAATGGAATTGGATAAGAAGAATTACATTCATAATTTCCTATAGGTATTGTATATACCTAATATAATATTAATATATTATTAAGTTGCTCAGGGAGTTCCTGAATGAGAAATCGAAGATTGCAAAACGAGACCTCTTTTGGCGACATGCATACTTCATTTATAACATACTTACTTAGTTTAAAAGGCGAGGGCACCGGGATCATAAATAAAAAAAATTGTGTCTAAAATTAATCGGTTATATTGCAATATAAAAAAACGTCCTAATTAGTTTTTTGTGAATACAATTTTTATAGGAATCTCTTGCACAGCCAATAAGCTGATTACAACTTCGATTTTATGTTGTATCTGGTCGTAGTTCTCACATACGTAATACCGGATGGCATGCTGACCTTATCGACTCCGCCTGGAAACAAATTTTCTGCTTCCCTGTCACTTACTTCGGGTAAAATCATTACTTTTTCGCCCGGCTGAAAACAAACAGATTAGTTATATTCTTTAAAGCCACAATCAATAGCCAGCCAACTTACCGTCCAATTGGCAGGCGTCGCGATCTGCGGAATCCTATCGACCAACTGAAGAGAGTCCAGCACTCTTAGAAGCTCGCTAAAAAGAAAAATGTCAAACCAATAACAAAGGTCTACAAATTTTTTAAACATAAACAAGAACCTGGGAAAGGTTTTTGGCGTAGTAAAAATGTTGACAACCCTACAGAATTTCGGTAGTTCCACTAATTTCTAAATAATTCTGCTGATCTACTGACAGACCATCAATCAATATTCTACCGAAATTGTGAATCTTCCTATATTTCTTAAGATTTTCGGATAAGGTTTGCAGCCACGACGGTATATACTTTTGAGTGTGGCTATAGTATACTATAGCCACACTCAAAAGTCCCACTTTGACATTTAAATAAGGAAGGCAATTTAAATAATTGAGGTTATCTATCTGTCAGCTTGATGCTAATTTATACTTATTTTCTAAAAATAATATAACATATGTTTTTATGTACAAAGGTCTTAATTTGAAACACAAAAATACATAAATTATATTATTTTCAGAAATAAGACGAAATTAGCGTTAAACTGACAGATGGGTGCCCTCAATTATTTGTATTGAAAATTCAATGTTCGACTTTTGCGTGTGGATCATAATACATTAATCGATATACCTGCCGAGTAATTTAATTTGTTAAACATTTAACATCTGACAACAGATTAAGCCTCACTTTTTGCCAATGTATAATAATGCCATAAAGCTAAATAGGCCTTAAGGATTTCTTTAGTAAATATTTAGTTTTATAAGGGTATAAATGACATCCCATAATAAAGCAAAGTTAAAACTTACAAGTGTATACACTTGTAAGTTTTAACTTTGCTTTATTTTGGGATTATAATGGGCGTTATGGTTTTAAAAGTAAAGTAAACCTACTTTTTGTTGTGTCTTTTTATTAAAGTAATATGCTATTTAAATTTAAAGAATATGCATTTAATACCAAGTATTATAATTCAAATTTGTTAAAGAAAAATAATAATTTTTTTTACTTTTTTTGAGTTTATCATGTTTTCCGCAAAAAAAGTTTAATGGCTAGAATCTATCGTGACGGAAATTTTAATTAATTAATTAATTAACCAAAAAATTGAACAACGTGTAAAACGCATTAACATGTATCTACTATTAGATGTCAGATAAAATATCAAATAAAATTGGCTTTACATTCTTTGTGGTTGTTGAATAAAATATTGTGTGCGACTATTGGTCAAAAGAGAAGATTCCACTCGCATGTACCGCACTCAAGGGCGTCGATAATTTTTTGAAAACTAATTTTGCAAAACTCCTTATTGTTTATTTGCTTTTGTATATTGTACCAAAACTAAATATCTCATAAACATAAACATATATTCTTTTTTAAGTACCTAGGACCTAGGTAATATTTTTAAATATAAAATTCAAATTATAAAATTTTAATGTCTTTTTTTCAGTTTTGCAAAACGATCCTAAACCTTATCAATATTTATTTTTATATCCCTATGTACATTAGGGTGATTCATTTCCGCAAAGTTTTTTTTTTTCGGTGCTCAAGCAAAATATTAATCTACCTATAGAAAAAAAAATTTCACCAAGGTAGAGCTTTTAATATCAATGTTAAGTACTTGCAGTTTAAATTTAAAGTTTTTCCATTTAAAATGCATGTAAAAATTTTTTTTTCAAATTTCTAATGCTCGCCCGGTCTTTACAATATGTGAATCGGTTTTATGGACCTTATAGGGAATTTCACGCTCTTCAAAATTGTCTTTGTGTTTTTTTGTGTAACTAGTAGTGGTTCGCCAGTAGGAGTCATCAAAGTTCAATTTTTTGAATGAAAATTTTTTTTTGCAATATTTTTTAACAACTCGTAAAAAAAGAGCTGAATCGTAAATAATAGTCTTTTAACCATTGAGTAAACTTCTTTACTCAATGCTTTTAACAAATATTTGATGAATTTACGGCCATTTTTATATCTTAAAACGTAAGTAATTGATAAAAATTAACCAATTATGCTATTTAAATTAAACTTTCTTATTTACTATCGATATAATTCTCTACAACAATAACTTTTTCAGAGTTATTATGATTTCTGACTAAAAATAAATATAAAGAGCTCTACCTTGGTGAAATTTTTTTTTTCTATTTTCTATTCTAGGTAGATTAATATTTTGCTTGAGCACCGAGAAAAAAAAAGTTTTTTGCGGAAATGAATCACCCTAATGTACATGTAACAATGCTAATCCTACTAGTCTTCACCTGTAGAAGCCCGAAGCCAAGTCTTTATTTTTCTTTTATTATGCCACACTTTAAAAACTATTCATAGAGGGTGACTTGCATTCATAAATTATATTTGTAATAATTTTTTTACTTGTACAAAACTTAATTTTTAAATTTTTAGATTTGTTGCACTTTACGCTTCTTAAATAAAAAATACACTTTTTTTCGTGTCAAATTTTTTTTTGGAATATTGTCCGAAAAATCCAACGAAAAAGTTGCAACACCATTCACCACGCAGATGAATCCAATCCATTTGACATTTCAACCCAAGAGTAAACTAACACATCTTTTTCAGTTTTGTAGAAACGTTAAATACAAATACTTACTCGACATTTCTTCCAGTGGATGCTGGATATTGCATCGACAATCTCAATCGATGACTGGGATCGATAATGTAGAGAGCCCTAACGGTTTTACCATGTGTTTCGCTATTTTTGTTGTGCTCATCTATCATGTCCAACTTGACAGCCAAATCTCTGGTCGGGTCGGAAATAATAGGGTAGGGAAATGCGCCGGGAATATCCAGGCAGTAAGATTTAATGTCGTTTACCCAGTCGACATGATCTTGCAACTTGTCGCATGAATGCGCCAAAAGTTTAACGTTTCTTTCAGTGAAAAAGGGCTGATGGACGGCGAGACGACCCAGTTCCGTCGTGCACACGGGAGTAAAATCAGCAGGGTGAGAAAATAATACCACCCACCTGAAAATTAAACTTGGAATTAAAAACCAGAATTTTAATAAATTTATATACAAAATATATCAAGGTCGATAATGGAATATTTTTTGTTATACAGCTTAAAACCATTGCATAGGGGAAGGTGGGGGAATTCTGCGCATCTAAGCAAAATCTCTAGTATCTTTGTTAAGTTTAAATGTGAAATTTTGCAATTAATACCAGCGATAGTCTACTATGTTTACTATGTGTATATAGTGCGCAATTTATAAAAAAAAATGTTTGGTATGCAAAAACTACATTTTTTTAAATAATGCGTTTGCGCAAAATTACCCACCTATCAGGGTAATTTTGCGAATCATAGGGGGAAAATTTGCGCTGTATAGAGAAAGATTTGTAGGTGTCTAAATAAACCGTTTATTTCTATAATATTATTATATTAAAACATAAAAATAAAACAAAACTATTTTCTCTATGAAACAAACAAAACAAACAAAATCAAAAATAAATAACTAAAAATAAAATTTTTGTTCTTAGAAATAAGAGGGTCTACATGCAGCATTTGTCACATATGTAGTTTTAGGAGTTGTTTTTTTCGCTACACTCCGCGTGTGCCCAAATGGAACTGTTTAGGCTGAACAATCTAGGCTCCTGTATACCAAAGCTTCCATATTTGCCAAATTTTGCAGCGCAAAATTACCCCAATTTTTCAGCGTAAAATTACCCCCATTGCAAGAAAAATATTGTGATACTAAAAAACTTTCCAAAAGTTAACCTGAACAATTTAAACATACACCAGATTACGAGGAAAGATCATATAAAGTTGTGTTATAAACATTTAAGCGATTGGACAGAAATTTAAACTTAACTCGTAGCGGAAACGACATGGATTTCTTAGATTAACGTACATGTACATGTATCACAGTTAGCTAGTGACCATGGTCACTAGCTAAAAGCTACAAGCTTAATTGCGGTACACTTTAGTCCCCGTATATCCAAAGCAACGTTTCCAAGTGTGCAACATTCAAAAAATGTATTATTTACTTCATATCTGGAAGAATTGTTTATGCGTAAAATTACCTACCGCGCAAAATTGCCCCACCTTCCCCTATTATTAAAACATTATTTTAAAAAATTAAGTTTTTTGGCAAAGAAGAAACTGATTTTTTAAATTTAGCAGTTAATAACTAAACAATAAAATAAATTGGGCACAGCTTGGGTATTTTAGGAGGAAGCGCTTTTGCGTTTAAACTCTTAAGAACCTTATCTTATTAACAAAGTATAGGAAACATAACTACATCGCTTTGCGCTCACTTCTCGTGACCTGTAAAGATGCAGTGAGTAGGTATTAACAATTGTTAAAATTTATTTTATAAATAGATAAAACAGCATTAAAAAGCGCAGCACTGCTCCGCAGCTCTTCAGCACTACCACACGAGCCTTGGCCAAAGCTGTCCCCAACAAACCCGGATTTATATAATAGGCTAGTTAGGCTATTACAGCAGTTCGGTTTCGTCCCTGGTGGAGATCGTTATTGCTCTATGAAAAAGTAAGTGAAATATAAGTGACTTTGCGACCCAGGAGGGACGAGATCGGATTCCCAGGGTACATACATCAATCATAAATATATAAATATATGAAAATATTCGAAAAAAGAAACGGATGAATTAAGATTGAAATATTTGAAGAAATCCTGTGCATATAGCCATGTGGTGCATGGTTAAAGAAAATTGAACATGGTGATATAAAAAATTGAATTAACCAGTAGATACACTGTTTAAAATATCTGTGGTGTAAAAAGTAATCTTAAAATGGTGTCAAAATCCAACACCAAGTGGTGTTAATATAACACCATGAATTATGGTTGAAAATGTGTACCGCTCGCGGCAAAGGCGGTCTGGATCACGTGATGTTCTTAAATCTCGCCTCTGTTGACTTACATGAAGAATATATAAACTCAGGTGGTCCTTTGCTTTGGTGTGACACTACAAGTTGTTCGATACTAAAGAGACCTTAAATAGGTGGAAACAGCTGTCAATACTTGAAGTATTTTAAGTTAGTGGAACGCACTAAAAACATTATCTCTAGCGAGTTGAAGGTTCTATTTTCTGGAATAATAACACTGGTAATATACTAGTAATGCGTCAATGAACTTCCTGTTTCCTTTTTTTCCCTTTTTTCTGTGTAGTATGATTTAATTTGACCACAAATACATAATATTTAACACTGAAAAGGAGTTCAATTTACACCAGGTAAAATTTATTTTAATACCGTGTGAAAGTTAAATTAACATTATTTTAGTATTTGAATTTACACCGGCCAACAAACCATATTTAACACGATTTTGGTTTGTATCGATATAGACCATGTATGGTGTTAATTTGGTGTTAAAATGGTCATGAAATTTTGAACAGTGTAAATGATTCAAGTGATGAGTTAAACTCAGACTCTCCTAAATGAGACCCTTGATCAGTAAAGAAAATTTAAAAAATATAATGTGCTGGCCAAATAGTGTTTAAGTACGCTAAGGCCATTAAATATAAAGAAGAAGAAGAAGGCTATTACAGGTTATAACAGCCAGTGTTGCCATCTTGGAGAACTTTTCACCATTTCTAGTAATTTTTTGTTTTTGGTTGAGAGTTTTCAAGTTAGATAGCGACAAGTCTCAATCCTGGAGAATTTAAAGATGCATCGGAGAGTTTTTAGCGAATTTTTAATAATTAAAATACAGAATAAAAAATATTGAAAGTTGGGTTGGGTGCGTTGAACTAGTGATTTTTAAATTAAGAATTTTACCGGTCAGAACTTTGATACACTCCATCCTCATATTTTAAAAATGTGACTCCTCCATCCATTAAAGTTATCAGAGACTCTGTGAAGTTATTACCGGTTACAGTTATTCTGTAAGGACTACCTCCTCCCTGATAATGTATTAAAACAAAAAATATATAACAATGAGACTGATGAAACAATAGATGATATAATTGAATATATTAGTACTATTTAAATCCTTCTACAGTTTATCCTAAAATGTGCCCGTCAAACTTTGTATATAGAAAAATATACTTATTTTAATTTGTACCTACATACATGACGTTAGCAAAGTTTAGCCAGCTACTTTTAGGACATCCTGTATAGCTATATTTTTTTCTTATTTCCATGTTAAAAGAAAATGTTTATTATATAAAAATCTTTAAAGCCTTATATTACAAATTATTAAAAGTATTGGAGATTTTTTTTTGGCAAAGTTGGAGAATTCTGGTGAATTTTTGTTTAGGTTTTTGAGAATTTTAACATTTTAATGTTGGCAACACTGATAACAGCCTACGGCGGCATTTCGGCCACAAGCAAGTTCTTTTCAGTGCCTACTTCGCAGAATTTCGTATGTACGTCCTATTTTTTCGCAAATATTTTGTAAATTTATATAAGTAATTTTCCTACTAATTATTATTATAGTTAATTTACAACAAATTTGCGGAAAAATATGAAATTAAATAATTAAATTTGGGAACAAATATAGTATATTATGTATCAAGTTTGATAAACCCCATTTTATACACGAATTTAATTTAGGCACGAGCGAGCTTGCGAGCGAGTGCTTAAATTAATGAGTATATAGAAAAGTTTATAAACGAGGTGCATACTATACTTTTTTCTACGAAAAATACTTATTATTATCTTAAAATGATTTAAATCAAAAATTTGTATAGAGCGCCATCTATGAAACAATAGGGGAACCTGTGTGTCACCGTCAAATGTAAAATGTTTATATTTTATAAAGGTTATAAATCGAAATGTATTTCATGAAAAATAACAGTTTTTTACAGTGAAAGTAAAGAATATTTTTTATGAGCACTTTACAGTGGAGTCCGTGTCTGAATTTAAGTTATAGTTTACTGTCGGCGAAATTTAAAGGTCAGTAGGTACAATGTTCATATAAACTTTTCAAATATTGGCGTTGAGAAACTGTTTAATACTTTTGTATTTTTGTATTGAGATAATAAAATAATTTTCACATTTAGTATTATTTTACAAGAAAGGCACTTTATTTTAACGATTGTATGACATTTGACAACTGTCAAATAACTTAAAACTAACTTCAGCCCGTGACTAAAACCTGTTGCCAACTTCAGCCCGTGACTAAAGCGCCATAAAGCCACAACTTGTCAATGTGTATTTAAAAGGTCACTTAGTGTCATGGAAACATGTAAACGATAAAGGGGTGGGAGTGGAAAAAATATATTTTTTTGAAATTACCATATTTTTTTTCAGTGTATTCGGCAATTGATTTTTCGTTACCTAATCATTCCTTAATTTATAGAAATATATTGTTATAAATACTTATTTAAAAAAAAATGTTTTCTTAGTGTATTCTTACATCCAAAAAAAGTCTTATTTTGTGGCAAAAACATTAATTATAATAATAATCTTTTTATTGAATATTATTACAATTTTTTGTGTTTTTTAGTGTATAATGAAACTATTATAACCACCTCGCCTGACAAGGGGAATAACTAACTCATTATTGACTATTTTTGGCATTAGTGATTGGCCGATTTTTAATATTCCCTGTAATATGAAGCAATTAGGTTTAAAATTTAAAAAAGTGAGGTTAAAACTGTTTGATGATCATTAAAATTGAGAGAAAGTGAGTTTATAACACTGAAAAATAGGCACAACCTAGATATATCTCGTTTAAAAATATACCTACTATTATTAGTGCTTAAACAATACAAAATGTGTAGAATAAATTAGTAATGAAAATTTCCATTTAAATAAAAGATAAATAGGTACTTAAGATATTATAACAAATAAAACTAAGAAAACAAACTTACATAACATAAATAAATATACAATTTTTATAATCAAAAATAATAAAACTAATAATTAAAATATACATATGATACCGTTAAACGGAATAAAACGAGTTTAAACAATATTTTAAGTTTGATTTAAACTCAAGATATATTTTTGATGTTTAAATATTTAAATTATTTTTAAGATAATAAGTTAAAATAGTTTGTGTTTCTCTGGCTGAGTACGCCATTTTTACTTACTTAAAAAGACATATTGACATAATGTCACTATCAAACATTTTTTTTAAACTGTTACCTACAATATAGTTATTCAATATACATTTTGTTATACTAAGGCTTCTTAATTTGTAGGTAACAGTTTAAAAAAAATGTTTAATGGTAACGTTTCAAATGCGAATATTTTAGAAACGGTTGAATTTTGGTATATAGTTTGTTATATAAATTATGCTTAGAATTTTACAAGGAATCGAAAAATAAATTCATATATAGGGTGATCCATTGAGAAAAAATAAACTTTTTTGTTTTTCCCTGTATACTGATCAATTCTACAATTTTTTTTTAACGTAAAAAAAGTATTTTTTAGTCCCTACATAACCCACTTTAAATTTTTTGGGACACTTAAAATAAAAAAGTTAAAGGGGGCGACATTATAGGGGATCACCCTGTACAGGGTGTCCTAAAATTGGTTGTCCATATAGGCTATCTCAGTAAATATAAATGCTAGAAAAAATTCGACCACGCATCCCCGTCGTCTTTTTTAAAGATACATCGGTTGATGTCTTTGAATTTTCTCGATTCGCATTTGTTTATAAACTCCTATAGGAGATATACCTATTTTTTTTCAATTTTTGCCAATTTTGACAAATGCTTGTAGCTTCGTTAATATTTGAGTTACGGATACAGGTTTAAAATATTATGTAGGTAATTTTTATCATAGAATTCATTAGTGTAGACAGATTTTTTTAGCTCTTTTAGGTTAAGAGATATGACCCTATACGGACAACCAATTTGGGACACCCTACATAAAATAATAAATAAAAATAACAATTCTTAAAAAGATTATAATTTTTCCTATATACTTGTTATAAAACCTATAGGCTATAATATATTATACTAGGTAATACCTAGTAAGTATATATATATTATAAAATTTAAAACAGACTTACAAACCAAATGTTTTGATGCTTACGATATTTTGGCAAAAAGTCATCGATATAATAAACGGAAATACTCGTATATATTACTCGTGATTTCCACGAGTATTTTTTACGAGTAAATTGAATTTGATTTGTAAGTACGAGTAATAAGTATTTCAAATGAAAAATACTTATGAGTAAAAAAGTACTCGTACTTTTTTACTCGTAATTGAAATACGAGTAAAAGTACTCGGTACTTGGCCAGCTCTGGACCTATATAATAATTGTAGTTATCAACCTTATGTTCTTATATATGCCTACAAGACAATTATGAAAATGAACTCATGCATTTTTTAGCAAAATTATCGATAACTTTTAAGCACTTGTGTAATTACCCCCGATAACAACCTTCTTTGTCTCTGATAACAACAATGTCAAAATGAAATGATGAAATTCGTTACCTACTTTTAGTTAGAGGTTATTTATTTTACTCACAGATTATAAAGGTTTTTACGTCAGGCTTGACAAAAGCTTGACCAAAACTTGACAAAAGCAAATACAGGGAGTCCATGTCAGGAACTTATAAAACTATAGATTAAATCTATGTAAAAGAGTAAACAAAAATATACTTTACATTGACACATACTATTTTAGAAGACTGTTTAAAATAACACGGTTTTATCTTCATGTAGTTGTTTAATCAAAGGATGGTTTACTTAAAATTGGTTTGTAGTACAAGATGGCTATAGAAAAATAATTTTACCAGCGAGAAGTTGTGATTTAACTTCACTAGACTTTTTTCTCCGGGGCAAGAATTATGTTTTAATTAAAATGTTAACAGTGTTCGATATCAAATGTTGTGGGACTGATAGCTAATTTGACTTTTAACCAAAGGTTGACAAAAAATATTAATAATAATGTACTTACTTGTCCCCTTGCCATGTATAGAAATTAATTCTGCCCTGAGTTGTGTCGGCATTAAAATTTGGCACTAAATCTCCTAAACGTAGAGGCATTTTGAAGTTTACTTTGGTAGTAAATAATCGAACACTATTAAATTGTTTTTCAATATAGTCCTACTATTTATATGGTAAACATGATTAGGCAACTTAAGATGAGATTGCAAGAAATTATTAAATATCACTATGTTCATTAAAAGACCATTAACTTATTTGTTTGATCTATTTATAATGTTACTATGTTCATTGAAGAATATTATACAGGGTGGCCCATCGAAAACAGTCCAGCAAGGTTTACGGCTTTGTATGTGAATACTTTTGTTTTCAGGTGGCCATATTCACAGTAGACTGGGCCAAAAACATCGACTATTTTTTTTTAAGTATTTCAAAAATATGGTTTGGGGTGAGAAAAAAATTATAATATTAATATTAAGAGGTCTATCATCGCAATTTAAATTTTTTTTTTCCTCAGCGAGTTTTTGTCTCAGAACTCCCAAACCATTGAGTTTAACAAAATTGACTCAGAAATATTTTTGAAGGAATTTGAATGCTCTACAAAAAAGGTAAAAATGAAATTTTTCGTCTCTTAACATTTTTGGCTCAATCAAAAGTTATTCAATGTTAAAGTTGCAGTCAAAACGAAATTCTTGTTTTTTTCCTGTGTAGATTTATTTTTTTATGGATGATAATTTGATTTTTTTTTCTTTTTAAATGTGTATTATATAACTAATTAACAATTTCCAATAAAAAAAACAACAGGATTGTTATTATTTAAACGATTAAATAGGTAACAGTGAAAATAATATTTTCTAAAGAAAATAGCTTCTTAAAAAATTAGAAAAAATTAGAATGTGTTATTTTTTTAAATTTTTAGTAAGTTTATCAATAACATAAAGATTATCATCGATATAAGAATTTAAGTTTTTAACCGACCCAAAAAAAAATCAAGAGCGAAAAAAACAAGAATTTTGTTTTGACTTCAAATTTAACCTTGAATAACTTTTGATGGAGTGAATTTAGCCAAAAATGTTAGGAGACTTTTTTTGTAGAGCATTTAATTTCCCATAAGAATATCTATCGGGTTTTTTCCGGGTATTGATTTTTACATGAATTACAAAATTCCAAAGTTAAAATATCAAATTGTAAAACTATACCAATTTTTAAGGCATGATTGTAAGAACCGTTTAAACGGTTCATCTGACGGGAAATTCCAATCAAACCTTTTTTGTAGAGCATTCAATTTTATTCAAAAAATATTTTTAAGTCAATTTTGTTAAACTCAAAAGTTTGAGAGTTCTGAGACAAAAACTCGCGCAGAAAAAAAATCTAAAATTGCGATGATAGACCTCTTAATATCAATATTATGGAATCAAACTTTTACCATAATTGTTTTTGTCACCCCAAACAATATTTTCGATATACTTTACAAAAAAAATAGTCGTTTTTTTTGCCCAATCTGTGAATAATAATATATCATTGCACCTACTAAAATATTTATTTAAATTGTATTATTACGCAAAAGAAAAACAGTGCAGCGGCGACGGAACACCGTAGTTCGAGATCATTTTAATTATAAATTCAAAACCCAAATGATGCTCAAAGGGGGCAAAATATTACCACTCTTCGGATGCACTCGGTACTGTATACCGTAAAAATATACAGATATCTGGAAAATTTTCTGCTATTCTTACTGTAAAAGACACTCTTGATTTTTTTAAATCGCTGTATTTAATCATAAGCTTAGGATTTTTTTTACCAAAGATGTGAATAATTTACCACGACATATCTGAATCGTTTTGTAAATCAGTTTAATAAGTAGGTTTATTTAATGTAACCTGACCTTAAAGAAGGCAGTGGCGGCTGGTGGATTTTGGCTAAACCAATATTTCAGTTATTAGACATGGGACCCACCCAGGGCCGGCTCCAGGGTACGTGCAGCCGTGCCCCTGCACGACGCGGCAAAATTCGAAGGGCGGCAAAAATCGAAAGGTGGCAAAAATCGAAAGGTGGGAAAAAGTTATTCAATACAATACTATATAGGTTCTAAATTAGATATTTCCAGTTTAATTTTAGTTTAAACAGATTTTTCTTGTTTTTACTACTGGTCAGTTTTATAATGTTAGATAAAATAATTATTATTAGAATATATTACTGTTTTTTTAGAATGCGATGATATTTTATTTATTTGTTATTAAATAATAATTTTTTAAACTTTTTTGTTAATTTTATCTTTCCCTTAATGCTACAACTGGTTAACTCGAAATTTTATAAATCCAGTTCTACTAAATACTTACATACCAATTTTAGAATATTTTATTTACAAATGTGTTTTTTTCAGATATCCAATTGTAGCATCAAGGGGACGATATTATTTATGTAGTTTTTTTTTTTTAGAAATTGTACCTAATTAATGGGCACTAAAAAGTAGGTAACTATGAGGGGCGGCAAAAATATTTTTGCACGGGGTACCAAAATGTCTGGAGCCGGGCCTGGACCCACCAAATTTATAATATTTTATAATGACATTAAATAGAAAAGTTTGGCGCAAACAGAATTTAAATTAAAGTTTGCGAAAAAAGTTAGTTTTTCGGGTCGCCTCACCCGCCTCCCATATTTGAGATAATTCAAATTTAAGTGGTGCAATTTATAATCTACTATAATTTATCAATAAATTTAAAATATGATTTAAAAAAGCCAAATATTAAATTTTATTTAAAAAATCCAAATATTACAGATTTTTTACCATTCTAAATATTTTTTATTTTAATAAAATAAATAATAAAAATTTACAATCGTATAAAATCTGTAATATTTGGATTTTTTAAATAAAATTTTAAATTTGTTGATAAATTATAGTAGATTTTAAATTGCACCACTTTAATTATCTCAAATATTGGGCCAGAAGGCGGGTGAACTTTTTATCATTATAAACTACACTCACAGGCAAAATAATCGATCCACACAAATTTTCGAATATTAAAAAATATTGCAGACGTAAGTTTAAACAAAAATATGTTTTTTTCCTTAGGTTTAAGGCACTCTGTAGAGTGGCAAAACGGTATATTATTCTAAATTAACTTTTAATTATCAAGTCACATCTATTCTTGAGTGTCGGTTTTTTAGCGAATCCCTTTCATTGTTACATTACAAGTCTAGACCAGGGTCGATAATTTTTGAAACCAAAAAAAATAACAGTAGGATGAAACCCATTGGAAAAGGAGAAGAATAAAATAAAAATGAAAGGAAAAATAAATTACGGGCGATCTGACTTCGGGAAGTGGGAGGGGGGGGTTTAAGGGTAAAAAATGCTTTATCTCGATTTCCGGCAAAACTACAAGTCCTATGGAAAAAAGTTAAATGGCAAAGTTGTAGGTAATAAAAGGATCTACAACTTTTGTAATTACAATTTTTTTACATAACCTCAAAATTTATGTGAAAAATTCAAAAAACCAAGTTTTTGGTTTTTTATTTTTATCTTTTTCAAATTGAGTATGAGTATGGGAACGTATGGCAAGCCCCAGATATATTGTCATCCACTGATCTCCCGGGGTTATATTACCCCCTTTCCGTTCTCCTGCGTATCCCGCCAAATCACAGCATTACCTGTGTTTGTTGGATCCGAAGTTTTTACGCCGGCTGGTAGATCCACCCTAGGAGTTCGTGGATGACAGTGTCAAAGGTTAAGGCAGCTCCCGGGATTTTTGTCAGCCGGGTCGGGCCATACGTCCAGTTTAGGAAGGGTTTTTGGAGGACATTGAACTGACCCAAAACTAAGTACAATCCGGAATCCTCCTCAACCTAGGCCTTAGTAGTATCCCCATTCAATTGGTATTCGTGAATGGGGGTGGGTATGTTAGTTTTTTGCTTACTCCGGCTACCAACCTTGTATATTCTTTATTTATTTTATTGCTATATTAGTGTTCATACCGTTTTCATTTATTTATATCTTTGCCTTCTTACTTATTTTTTTCAAATTAATTTAAAAATAAAAATATTAATATACAAAATAGATAAAGCCGGCCCTGTGGTGTATCGCATCAATATTTGAAACCCGGCCCCTATGTCGGGCGTGCAACGCATGCCTCAATAGATGGCCTACCACTTCATTTTCACGTGGGGGCTTTGCCCATTTACTTTCTCCATCCTCCAAGCTTTGCTTGTGTGAGCTTATGTGTATATTATATAATATATATAATACAATAATATAATATTGCGACGCACCCACTTGATTTCCCTTCACACACGCACGCTGCCCTCTGCAATGATCAATTGTTGCCTGGTTTCCTGTTAAATTAGTATCTATATAATTTCAATATAAATTTCAATTAGTCAATACCAATACTAATACCAAATAATACGAATAATCAATACCAAAATCAACCAATCAATCAATTAATCAATATTAATACTAATATCAATATCTATAATGCCAATATCAACATCAACACTAATACCAACAATATTACCATCAATACCAATACCAATACGATTATATCAATATCAATCAATCAATTAATTTATTAATTAATTAATTAATTAATCACTTTATGTAAATACCAATCTTCAAAATAGAGCCGGCCCTGTAGTGCATATAGTGGAATGCGGCCTTATGGCCTGCTTGGCTCTTGAGTTCTGTGTATTAGTTTGGCTTTGATTAATGGGTGTGACCTAAATTTATTTATGATAAATTTTTGTCTTCTTGCTTGAAATGGTTTATTTACTTACGCCTTTTACGCTGGTTGTTTACGTTTGTCTACTATGAGAAAATTAGGTTGTTTATTTAACAGTTACGGAAATGTTCTTATTATTTTTTAAAATTTAATTTTTAAGACGAATAGAATCTTAGATTTTTTTTCAACATTGTGAAATGCTTATATAAACATTTAACGCTTATAGTAAGACATGCAATTAGAAGAATTACTTAGCTTGATTATTAGGCTATAAATCTGATGCTTTGTCTTTCGCGGGGTGGCCTTCTCCTGCAGGTTTTTGCATAGAAAAAGGATATTTTTGGAACGCTCCGATCCAGGTGCGCCGGTTGACTTATCGTTGCTGCCTAGCCTCAATTAGGTACTTATTCACTTGCACACTTTTAC